AACAGAAGCATTACAAATTAACAAGTTTTTTTTTGTAGAAAAGGAATATCTGAAAAGCTACCATGAGCTGGTCGGTCGGAATCTGTGAAGTCACCTTTTGATTCGGCTTCCGAATTCTGATTGATGCTATTCTCACGTAGAGAAATTTCTATTCAGAAACAGTTTTCTTAGTCAAAATCGACTTCTACTCCACAGAATCGAAATCAAAATTGGGTGTCGACTTTAGATTCACCTCACTGACTATAAAATGTTTCCTTTTAGCTTATATGTGTATGTTTAAACTTGATAGACAAGGCACCGGCCACATGACATAAAACAATTTACTGTTTTCTACTAGAACTCACATAGACGTCTCTTTCTAACGCAAATCCATGATAAACACAACATCAATAGTGTAGGATTGACTTTTTTCATAGTTCTTTAAGCCAATTAGAATCTTTTCTTTTTAATAATTTCTTTGTCTTTCATTTTGTTGATTGTTGTAAGCAAAACTCGTGAAATGAGTTCATTTATTTTTCTTCTGTTGATACACAAGCATTTCCTATTTTCAATAAAAATTTCTCGCAAACATTAGCATGAAAAAATCGAAAATCATGTTCCTTTTCCTTTTCTGTGCTGTAATTGCGATGTTTGTTTTGTGAAGTTATTTGTTTGTCTTTCATTTCGCTTGCAGAATAAATAGAGCTGTCTCTCTGTATATGAGATTCATGGTAAACATTAACATGAAAAATTGAAAGTCGTCTTTTTCTTTTTCATTTCATCGAAGTAATGACACTCTTTGCCTTATTTCATTTATTTTTCTTTTTTTTTGTTCTCAGCCTAGAGTAAAAATCGCACAAACAGTTTGCTTTTAGTTGTAGTGCAAAATGAGAAAAGTGTTGCCTACTTGGAATTGCGATGCACCCTAAATATGATCATGATTAAATTGAAATTCATGTTCATTTTAGCTTTTGTTCACAAAGAGATCAAGTTTTCTTTAATATGATTTGTTTCTTTCTTTAAATTAGCAGTCTACAGGAAAATTGAGACAAACAGTTTCGTTGTTTGTATCCTATTAATTAAAATTAGTTACTGTTTCTAGCAGACTTCGTGGTATGGGACAATGTGAAAACGTAGAAGCGCATATGTTCTTTTTAAATGTTTTCATAGTTAGGATAGTGTTCTGTTCTCTTTTATGTGTTTTTCTTTTATTTCATCTGTAACTTTGCCAATATTCGGATCCGTGATTTGCGTCTTTCTCACTGGTTAAATGGAGCGCCGTATTTCTATCAGAGATTCATAGTGAATATGAACATGAATAAACATAAAGTCATATTTCTTTCTCGTTTCCTTATTGTAGTCGGTTTTTTGGTTTGATGTCATTTGTTCCTTTTTCATTACGTTGGTACCCTTACGAAGAAAAGCACATACACGTTTTTTTTCTCGTGCTCAATGAAAAGCGTTACCGCTTACAAATGATATCCACTGTAAACATAATCATGTATAATTTAGAATTCATTTTCATTTTTATTTTTTCTTCACAATAATTATAAGTTTTCTCTAATGCTATTTGTTTCTCTCTCTCTTCCTCAGTAGCCTTGAGCGAAATTCGCACCAGCTGTTTATGTCTCCCAAAATAAATAGAGTTGTCTGTTTCTATCACACTTTTCTGGTAAACATAAACATGAATGCATCGAAATACACCTTTTGCATTTCTTCCAAATAATGGCACTCTTTTCGCGCTTAGCATTCCTTTTTTGTATGGATTTCGTTCGTAGCCTCGAGTAGAATTTAGATCAATTTCTTGCATCTGCCTAGCAAAAATAAATAGACAAACCTCTCTCGATGAGAGATTCATAATAAACAGCTACATGAATAGTAAAAAACCATCCTGTGTTTTTCTTTCACTATTTTTGAGTATTTTGAATCTTTACTGTATTGCCATATGCTCCTTCCGCATTGCGCTTGTAGCTTTGAGAAAAAAATTCATAGAAGCCGTCTGTTTTTCTTTGTTTTGCACAATGAAAAACCGTTTCCTGTATGCAAAGGAGCACCATTGCAAACATCAACATGAATAAATTAAGATTCGTGTTGATGTTCATTTTTTTGTTCGCAGTAATGGGTAGTTTTTCTTTGATATCATTTATTTTTTCTTTGTTTTCGTCGATAGCCTTGAGCGAAGGTCATATCAGTGATTTATAGTCTTCTCGCACAATAAGTAGAATTGTTTCATTCTGTCAAATATTCAAGACGTGAGTGATCATGAGAATTTCAAAATTCTTACTTCGTGTTTTCATCTATTTCATACTAATTCATGCTATGGATTGTGTATAGTCGAGGCAGTCACCATATATACCCTACATTTTTTTCAATGCAACTGATAGTGAACTTTTGCTACACCAGCTTGATTGCAAGATTGATGAGAGTCTTTAGTCAATGCTTTGCTTTTACTGTCTTGCACGATTTATATTGCTTACCCTGTTAAATTTTAAAACTATATCCTAGGGTTCATTTTAATGATTCTTCCTTGACAGTAATAGTTTCTTCTGACTTCGACAATTTTAAAGTATATGGAAGCATGTTCTATGTGAAACTTTCTTCCTGGTTTCTGTCGTAGTTTTTGTTACTATACTATCTAGAAGTTCTGATAACTGTTTTATACGTAGCTTAAGTTTGCCTCCCAAACATCGTCGTAGATGATTTTTGTGATGACAATTTCATGGTGAACATGAGAATTAATAACGAAAACTAGTTTTTCATTTTGTTCATGTTCTTTGACTTTTTCGGCTGTTCAAGCTGAAAGTTTTCATCGTACGATTAGTTGAATTTCTAAAACGTAACGGTAAGCATTGCCTATTAGCCCATTATTATCATACTGGGAGTTTCCGTAAGTGACTCGTGTCTTTTTTCTGCTTTTTTTACGTTCTATGTTTTATACTCCATCGTAAAAAGTAACCCTTTCCATTTGAAATGCGTCTGAATTTCTCTCACATAACGACAAAATTGTTTCTCACCACGACGTGTTCATGATAAACATAATCATGGATGTTTTGAAATTCAATTTTTAATCGTTTTGGTCGGATTCTTTGTTTATTTTTACTCGTGAAAATAAAAAGTAGCATTGCATTGGTAATGCCTATTGCTCTACCTTAATCACGATGGTTGTCACTCATTGTATAAGTATCATGGCAAGCATGAATATGAATACATCGATTTTTTTATTGTATTTCTGTTGCGCCTTTTGTTGCTTTGCATTGTTGGAATGTAATGCTGTCATTGTGCAAATACTTTGTATTTCTATCATCATACGGTGACAGTTGTCTGCTACTGTCCGATTATGTGTCGCTGAACGTGGCATGTAAAAAGCTTTGTTTTATTTCCTTGATGTGGATATGTCCAGAGTAACGTGTCTGGCGATGTTTTTTACCCATGGAAGGGAATTCGGTTGCATCTATTGGTTGGGTCTTCTATAAGTTCCAGCTGTTGGGAAATGGGTTGATATAGTTTATCGATTCCTTTCTAAGAGAATATTTCCTGATGCCCTTTTCAGTATCCTTAATTTGTTTAAATGTAACTTTGACATAAACGTTGTTAGTGCAATCCCTTTGGGATTAAAAATGTGAAACACGATGAAGCTGCTCTCAACATTCATGCAAATTTTCCTTTCATACATGAACCTCGTTACTCATTGACTCATCATGTTTCACCTAACTATTAAGTGTGGCATAAAAAACATCTAATGTACCTTCATTCAATATTAGTGCCATATATTCACTAATTCTATATAAAAAATGGACCACATTCATTGCCGTGCCCGAAGCCTGTCTGTCACGGTCTGTGACACTCTTGGACCTTGTCGGTCACGTCTGTGACGATTCTGAGGTTTGTCTGTCATGTCTGGGAGGGGGGGGGGGTAGTGGGTCAAAATTTCAGCCTCTAGACACTTCAACACTCCTTTTAGATCGTGTTTCACAAAATTACCTTCTTCTTTCTGTATTGCTAAACTAAAAAAGCCTAAAAATGTGAAGAAACATCGTTCCCAATATATCGACCATGATATTGTTTTTAGAAAATACTAATTCTTTTTCCGAAATCAGTATCTAATCGGGTACAAAAGTGGGCATTTTGATCGGAGCTAGTTTTTTCTGGAACGAGACAGAAGAAAACAGTAATTTTTTAAAGTCATTGTTCATATTTCTTATTTACCAGCTTTATATTTTTACATGAATACCCATTCATTCTATGACGAAAGATAAATTGCAATAGTTGTAATTTAATAGTTTGAAACTCATCGTTTGAGCGACGTTTATGTGCAAACTCGAATATCAGTGATGCGTGAATCTCCAAAGCGGAAATAGGAATGAGATATACCCAGATGAATAGATCCGATAACGGAACCTATCGGATCCGATCATCCGATAAAATCCGATAGGGTTCCAGGAAACGAATCTACTAAGGGATCCGACGGAAACCCTAATTAATTAATTAATTAAGCATCAATAACCAATCAGTAGTAATGTTAGAGATCAGTCAGCATGGGGTGTTTGCTATGATGGAAGGGGAACACTTCGATCATAAGACGGAACGAAACGAATGATGAGTACTCCTTTCTAGTACAATGGTTAATCCGTCTGCCCGGAAAGCAGGAGATACATGGTTCGATTCCATGTGAAGGGGGATTATTCTTTTGTTCCGTTCTGTGGTCATACCGTCACGTTGCTGTCCCGCTGATAACTGAGTAATAATAATATGAGAGAAGAATAAAGAGAATAGAAATGAAGACGTAACAGTGTTGGATTCCGTTGAATTCCGACCGTAGGATCCAATCACATTCCAACATTACAGCTCCGTTGGCCGATTCGTTTCCCGGATTCCGATAGGATTTCATCGGATTCACGGGAATTCATATAAAATCCGATCGGATTCATGTCGGATCCTAGTCGGTCCTTTTGTCGGGTTGAATGTCATTTGTATCTGTAATATATGCTTCATGCTTCAGATCATCAACAAGTGAATTCGAAATGGCAACAGTTACGAGAAGCAAAGCCTATCCCGACGTTAGTAATACGGAAAATTGGAAGTACACAACTACTAATAATATCAAAAGATTTAATAATAAGGATGATGTGAAACGTTTCATCTTAGGCACAAGCAAAATATGGAAACTGGACAATGTTAAAAATGGACAAGCGTTTACTGATAGCCTTTTGCAATCAATTGATGTGATGCACGAAAGTAATACGGCTGGTTTGGAATATGTTGACGACAAAGGTGATGTATGCTACATCCTGTTTTTGATAGAAGTGTCACCTGATCGAAAATCAATGCAGATTACACACACACAACATAAGTTATCGAGATCTGGAGCTCGTAAGAATGCAACCGACAATGTGCAAGTAGAAGAATGTAACGCGGGACGGTGGCTGATGCAACGAGCATACGATGAATTACATTTACCGCAGCATACAATGGAAGCGATGATGTTCAATAATCATAATTCTCTTGAACATCGTACACCAAAATACAGTTCAGAAGAACGTAGTATATCATTGGAGGGAATTAATCAAATCTTTGAAGCGGCTAGGTCTAATTTTCAGAGCGAGAATTATTGCGAAGCTCACCGAAAAAGATTTGGAAAAACTTTTTTACGTTCAATACTGGAAATTTCAAGTTTCTGTGAGCGTATTTCTGAATCGGATGCATTTTTGGAACATTTGGTGGATCAGATTCAAAATGTGCAGCAGCCAAAAGAATTTTTACATCACCTTCAATATTTAGATGGAGAGAAGTGGACATTAGCTATTATGGTAAAACCGGATAGGGCCTATATTCGTATGGTGACTGAAATGCGACATGATACAACGAGATCACAGAAATGAACAAAAGCCTATACCTTCTATAGACTACTTAGTTTGTGATCTTTTACTTATATATATATCAATCTTGAATACCATGGAATAGAAAAAAATTCTTATTGTTTGGTTTTTAAAAGAAATATTACTTAGATCAAAACATGAGATTTCCGTTTTGAGTTCATTTTAATGATTAAAACCCATTCATTTCGTTCATTTTTAGATGTCAAACCAGCTTCGTGTAAAACGTGCATACGTTAACGAAGTCGAACGACATTGGGCTCAAACGTCTCTCAAGAAGAATCATACGAGTGTGAACAGTTCAAAAGTGCTGAATACTATTTCCGATGGTGAAAGATATATCAAAGGTCTGAAGCGTATCCTAAAAATTGGTGACCTCGCCGGCATCGATGAGTTCATAGATACACTATGTTTCAACATTCAGTTTGATGGCGCTAGTGCAACAGAATTAAAACAAGTTGAATTTAAAGCTTTCGGAAAAACAGGCAGTGCAACCTATCTGTTAGTGGCAACGAATGTAACTACGGACCAAAAAGTAACAGTGTGCTATGCCTATCACACCATCACTGAAACCATTACAGAAAATCGAATATATACAACGTCAGCATCGGATATATTCCTTGATTGGCTAAGAGCAAAATCATGTGAGAGCTTGCAAGCAATGTTACCATCAAGTATAGCGCCAGAATTAGTTTACGAATAAATAACTATTGCTTTAATCTTATCTGTTTTATTCACTTCTGTTTGTCTTAAGTGGAACTTGTGAGTGCCGGCCTAATAAATAAAAATTTCAGCAGTAAATGTTCATTGAATGAACACAAAAATGCCTCCCTGGAAAGAAAATAGAAAAAAACGAAACAGTTGGGGTGTGGGATAAGCGGCCATCACACGTGTTTCGATCTGGCTCGACGGTGTGTAGAATAAGCTACAAAGACGCGTTTCGACTGATGCTCACTCTGTCTCATCAGCTGGCTTAGTATATCTATAATTCGATTACGAAAATTTTCAAGGAAAATTTCCAAATCAAGTCGAGACCAATTACTCTATTCTAACTTTCTTACAGAAAGTAGAATGGTAATTATTATTACCCAATATAAGGGTGTGGGTGTGGGTGTGTTAGTTACCACGATAACTTTTAAGTTATTTCGATATTACTGAAATCTTATCAAGTGGCATAAGAAGTTCAACTTGAAAGATTCAAAAACTTAGTTTTGAATCAAAGTATGACTTCTCAAAATCTACAAGGTTGAATTAAAAACCAAGTAGAGTAACCCAAATAGGAATAAATATAAAGTTGAAATTCAAAGCATCACACGACGCGTTTCGATCAGGGCTTAATCTGATCTTCATCAGGCATGTTTAGAATTTCATAATTACATAAAAGTTATAACTCGATCAAGTATATGATGAAGTTAAAACTTAAATCGTAATTAAGTAACAACCATATATTTAAATAATAATAAATATAAAGTTGAAATTCAAAGCATCACACGACGCGTTTGTTCTTCGCTTAAGGGACTCTACGGGCATGTTTTTAATCTGTTATTACATGTAGAATGAGAACTCGATAAGATAAATCTGGGACGTTAAGACTCATTATGTAAGAACTCCCATTAAATAGGAAATTCTATTCATAGGTTCGAAAATGAAAGTAGAAGACATTACCTTCTTTGCATTGTTTGTTTGACTTTGATTTCGTGCTGCGAGGATGTTTAGTATCTGTGGAGAGTTGGATTGCTTGGTATTATCTGGAATATATTATGTCAGTTGTCATGTTCGATTGTGGAACCTTGTGTTCTATCAGTTAGTTTTGTGTGTCGAATATCTGAAATAAAATGAAAGTTATGTACATCGTGTCATAAGACGTTAAAGAGAAAACAATAATTATCTTTTTATTATACAATGTTATTAAAGATTTTGAGATTGAGAGCATCACACGACGCGTTTCGAACCTTGCTGAAGGGTTCAATCATCAGGCATGTTTACAATCTATTATTACATAAGAATTCTAAACTCTCCAATAATTTGAAGAAGTATTAGAACTATTTCATAATAACAAAATCGAGAATAATATAAATTTATTATTAAAGATTTTGAGATTGAGAGCATCACACGACGCGTTTCGAACCTTGCTGAAGGGTTCAATCATCAGGCATGTTTACAATCTATTATTACATAAGAATTCTAAACTCTCCAATAATT